TACCACTTAGCCCAGCAAGATCACAAAGAAAAAATTAAGCTGAAACAAGCGAACTACTGGGCCATTTACTGAGAGTAATCCAATTGCAAAAAACCCTATTCCCAATAGAGGATTTTCACTAAAATCCTACAACAGGGACATTTAACCAGATTAGGTACCAGGGAAGATAAAGAGGCTAGTATTAGATGATGAATGGATTAGAGTCAGGTTTCATTTCAGAACGTGTCTTCATTTCCTTTTATTACTTTTAGGAAGGCACAACTTGCATTAACATCAAGGAAAGGAACTGCATTCAAAGAAGAGAAGTGAGGTTCTTGTGCTGCTCACTGGCGCTTCGAGATCAGGGACCACCAAGCAGTTAGTTCCCCATCCGTTTCTCATCCCCCCCCCTTTTTTTTAAAATAAGTGAGGAAAGAGTATTTCCTACCACAGTTAATTGTGGGGAAGGCATCTTTGAAAGGTGCTTCTCACTTTTTCATGAGGATGTTTGGAAAGAAAAATATGACCTTCTTGATGCTCCAGGAAAAAAATATATATCTACAGAAAAAAAGTTCAACACACATGTCCAGCAGCCTGGCTTAACGATGCCTATAAACAATGGACACTTTGGAAGAAAAGGGCTGGCTGGCTGCTCACAAGAGCCTTGCATTGTGAGTTATCAGTTTGCAATCAAAGCACTGAAATTAAAAACACCAAGCAGAGGGAGCTTTGGAAGCCAGTGACACATCCTTTGTAGGCAGCCCTGAAGGTGCGGACAGGCCAAAGCCAGCAGAGTGAGAGGTCACTGCCCCGAGGCCCATGGACGTGCATGGAGGATTCCTTTAGGGACCACTGCTGTTTAGGACAGCTTGAAAAGTAACCGACAGGTAAGTTCCCACTGTGTGCTGGGGTGGAGAGGGAAAGGACAAGTGAGAGGGAGGGAGAGAAAGGGACAGACATGGTCACATGGACTGAAGACCATTAAGAGGAAAGGAAAATGACTTGCTGCCTTCCAGAAGTTTTCCCTTTGCTTGGAAAGATCCACACCTGAAATGAAAGGAAACAGACCAGCCCCAGACAGTTTAAAATAAGTGCAGGAAAACTGTGGGGCCAGAGGGAAGAACCACAGATAGCCCAGGAGGGAAAGGAAGATGGTCACTGAGGGCTGAAGGGTGTCCAGGGAATGGACCGCTGTGCACAACAGAAGGAAGCAAGTGTAAAAACCCACGAGTGGGGTACAAGGGCTGGGAGTGGGCAGTGAAATTTGCAATTCTCAACCCTATCAAGTCAAGCATCTCTCAGGATGTTGATCACAAATTCAGATCCCTGATTCCAGATCTTTCAGTATGGACCTGAGTTGGTAGGTCTGGACCAAGGAGCCAGGCATCTTGGGTCCGCCGACTGTGTCATCCGTGGCTTTCCTGGTCAACCAGGATCCCTTGACCAGAGAGCCACACAGGCACAGACAAGCACAAAGGCCATGAGACCTGAGTCCTAACCGATCAAGTCCTAGTCTATAAGAGAATCCGTGGAAGGGCTTAGCACAAGCCTTCCCACAAGGTAAGCTAAAGAAGGGTGATTTATTGTTACTGTTATTGTTGTTAGGGAGAAACTGGCAATGGTATGGTATTTTGTCTGCGGTACAAAAGTGCCAATTCCACAACTGTCTTTCACTAACAGGAAATGAGGGGGAAACCTTTCTCTGCTTGTCCTGCAAAGAACGAAGACAGCATCTGGGCAACAGTGGAGTGATTTGGGGATATGCCATGATTTAAAAATTAATTCTCCCTTTCCCTTAGATACATGTATGAGGGGGATCCCAACGAAAGTTGAGCACCTGTCCTGGCTGCCCTCACCCTCGTATTACTTTGCGCACCTGAACCTCGCCAACTGCTTTTTTCCTGTTCAGTCAAAACTCTATAGCACGGGGGGAGTGAAGGGGATTTGAAGTTTTAACTGGGCCTTTCCGAGAGAAAACAGACCTGGTTCTCTTTACTGACCATAACTGCCTGCCAGGCCGGTCACTGTGAAACACTGTGGCCACAAGTCTCTCCAGGTTGATGGGTTCCCAGGCAAAGCAGGAATGTGGTCCCTCATAGATGCAAAACCCAGGGTCTAACTGCTGCTCCCTTTGGACGTGCCTGCACCTGGATGGCTTTTGTAATAGGAGGATGCTCTTCTCAAAAATGCCCACATCTCTCTGGCCTCAGAACCCCACAGTCTTTTCTTCGTATGTTGCATTACATCCATTGTTGGGGTGACGTATGTGCCTCTCTTAAGTTCCTTAAGTACAAGGACTGTGTCTTCTAGAACTCTGTGTCCCCTGTCATGCCCAGCCTGTGAGATGAGCACAATCTCATAAATTGCTTAAGAACCATCAAATTGCAACTGCATTACAAGAAGAGAAAACAGAGCCCACCTCACAGATCCATCTCAGCCAGTGGCAGTGCTCTCCACACGGAGTCTATGCAGAACCATAGCACAGAGCTGGGGGCCTTCAGAAACCATCCAGTCTCATACCTTGTTATCACGGGACTGTAAATGGTTTTAGAGCCCACTGCATGCCCATGGTGACCAAGGGGAAATCCATGAATTGAAGGAAGCCCAGGTTTAAATTCTACACCAGATTAGCTATGTAATCTCTCCCAGGCTTTTCTGTCTATCTCTGTGAATTCCAGATGAGAACTGTGTCTCCTTCACAGGGTTGTTGTAAGAAGTTAAGAGATGATGCTTGTATGGTGCTTAGCACAGTGCCTGGCACAGAGCTACACATGGGGTGCAAAGGAAGTTCTGGAAAATACCATCCCATGAATAGTAATAATAAGCACACGATGAAGATGAGGTTTGCTGCCCCTCTCGTCTCTTCTCACTAAATTCATGGGGGAAACGCAGCCACAGACAGTGGTGCCTACTGCAAAGGTAAGGATGCTGAATATGGGGCAAGAGTGTATGGAAGTGTTGTAGCCACCCTTCCTCAGGGGCATGCCCTTCTTAAAAATGTGCTATTTAATTAAAAAATATATTTATAATCTCTTTTGGAAAAAAGTCACTTTATTATGCTAATAAATAAGAGTGTCAACAGAAGAGTTGAAGGTTAAATAAACAGTTCAAGATGACCAAGATCCTTGCAGAACCAGGGTGAGGGCCTTGAAGTCAGAGCTGGTAGAAATGAAACCCACAACCACCCAAATAGGAAATGCTCCCTAGACTTCACACCTTCTCTTCAAACGACTTCCACTTTAAAACAGGTCTTTAAGAACTGGGTTCCAAACTACATCGCCTTAAGATAATTCAGATGTAAGAAGTACCTGTCTTGGGGGAGGGGCATAGATAACCCTCCAGAAATGCACCCAGCAAATCTAGACTAAATTGACAATCGATGCTCGGAGGGTCAGTGGGACAAACACTTTGAAACAGTATCTCCTCCCCCTTTTAGTTTATCTTTTTACAGACAGACCCCAGTGTTTAAGGTAAACACCTGCAACATAAAACCAGGTGCCTTTCAGGTAACTGCTCGATGTAAATATTGAATGTGGCTTCAAAACTACCTGGAGGGACAAAATCCTAACCTCCAGTGATGGCTCACTAACAACATTCAAGGTGATGGTGGTGGCGGTCACAGAAGCTACCTGGAGAGCCTGAGTTACTGGTATTTAACCC